ACAATGGCATTCATATTATTGACAAAATAATAATAATTATTATCCCAGTAATATATTTTAGGAGCAGGTCATTCTGATTAATGATAATAATAATAAAAAATAATAGCAGGTCATTCTCAATATTAATAAAAATAATAGCAATGCTGCTACTAATAATAATGATTATTAGAGTAATATATTTTTAGGAGCTGGCCATTCTGAATTAATAATAATAATAGCAATACTACTACTAATAATGATTATTATTGCAGTAATATATTTTAGGAGATGGACCTTCTATGTCATAATAATAATAGCATACTACTACTAATAATAATGATTATTACAGTAATATATTTTAGGAGCGGGCCATTCTAAATTAATAATAATAAAATTAATAATAATGATTATTATTGCAGTAATATATTTTAGGAGATGGACCTTCTATGTCATGTACAATAATAATAATAATATTAACAATGGTATTAATATTAATGACAATAATAATAATTATGCCAGTAATATATTTTAGGAGGGGGCCATTCTGAATTTATTATTATTAATAATAATATCAATACTACTACTAATCATAATTATTATTATTGCAGTAGTATATTTTAGGAGATGGACCTTCTATGTCATGTACAATAATAATAATAACATTATTAGCATTAATACTAATGACAAAATAATAATTATTATTCCAATGGGTCATTCTGAATAATAGTAACAATAATAATAACAATACATAAAAATAATAGCAATGCTACTACTAATAATAATGATTATTCCTGTAATATATTTTAGGAGTGGTCCATTCTAAATTATTATTATTAATAATAAAATTAATAAAAATAATACTATTAATAATGATTATTATTGCAGTAATATATTTTAGGAGATGGACCTTCTATGTCATGTACAATAATAATAATATTAATAACAATGGTATTAATATTAATTATTATTATTATTATTATTATACAGTATTTATAAAGCGCCAATAGTTCGCTCAGCGCTGTACATGGGCGGTACTTGGATATTAGGTCAGAGATGTAGTACGGGGCAGTATGGTGGACAGCTTTGTACGTCAGCGTTAGGATTTTGAATTTGATCCGTTGCGCAATCGGAAGCCAGTGGAGGGATTGGCAGAGGGGGGTGGCGGAGACAGAGCGGTTGGAAAGGTGAATGAGTCTGGCAGCCGTGTTCAGGATGGACTGAAGAGGGGATAGCCAGCGGCGAGGCAGGCCAGTGAGGAGGGAGTTGCAGTAGTCGAGTCGTGATATGATGAGGGAGTGGATGAGCTGTTTAGTGGTTTCTGGGGTTAGGAACGTGCGGATTTTGGCGATGTTGCGGAGGTGGAGTCTGCACGAGTTTGTTAAAGATTGGACTTGGGGCTGGAAGGATAGGTTGGAGTCCAGAATGACACCCAGTACTCTGGCCTGCGGGGCGGGTTTGATGGTAGCGTTGTTGGATGTGATGGAGAAATCAATGGGGGGTGGTGTCCGGGCTGGGGGGAAGACAAGAAACTCGGTTTTGGAGAGGTTCAATTTAAGGAAGTGGAGCGACATCCAGTCTGATATGTCGCTCAGTAGGTGTGTGATTCGGGCTGAGACCAAGGGGGTGAGGTGGGGGGTTGAGAGATAGATTTGTGTGTCGTCGGCATAGAGGTGGTAGTTGAAGCCGTGAGAGTGTATGAGTTGGCCAAGGGAGGAGGTATAGATGGAGAAGAGAAGGGGCCCGAGGACAGAGCCTTGAGGGACCCCAACAGAGAGGGGGAGTGAGTGAGGGGGAGGTGGTAGCATTATAGGTAACGCTGAAGGAGCGTTGTGACAGGTAGGATGAGAGCCAGGAGAGAGCAGAATCTCTGAGGCCGAGGGAGTGTAGTTTTTTGAGGAGGAGGGGGTGGTCGACTGTGTCGAAGGCCGCAGAGAGGTCAAGGAGTAGGAGCACTGAATAGTGGCCATTAGCTTTGGCGGTTAGCAGGTCGTTGGAGAGTTTGAGTAAGGCAGTTTCGGTGGAGTGTAGGGGACGGAAGCCGGACTGTAGGGGATCGAGGAGGTTGTTGTCGTTGAGGTGAGAGCATAGGCGGGTGTAGACTAGGCGCTCGAGGAGTTTAGATGTAAATGGGAGCAGGGAGATGGGTCTCTGAGGTTGTTCGGGTCATTGGGGTCCAGGGAGGGCTTTTTAAGTATGGGGGTGATGTGTGCATGTTTCAGAGGGGAGGGGAAAAGTGCCTGAGGAGAGGGAGAGATTGAAGATGTGGGTGAGGGAGCGTAGGATGGAGGAGGAGGAAGGTCGTAGGAGTTGTGAGGGGATAGGGTCGAGGGGGCAGGTGGTGAGGCGGGCATCAGAGAGGATCTTGGAGACTTCCTCGATGGTAGTAAGGTCAAAGGTGCGGAGTGTTGGGGGAGCTTCAGTATGAGGAATGTAGGGTGGGGTGGAAGAGGAGGTCAGAGCAGTGGTGGGGCCGTGGGAGAGGGGTGATGAGGGGGTAGCTGAGTGAGGGTGAAGGGGGTTGGAGAGAGTTTGAGCAGCGACGAAATCCCTGCGGGTTAAGTCGAGGGGGAGTGGGGATAAGGGGGTAGCTGTGTGAGAGGGGACAGGTTGAGAGGGCGTGTGAGTTGCGGCAATGTCCTTGCGAATTGTGTGTGTATTTTGTTTTTGAAGTGATTGGCAATCTCAAGGGCAGTGAGTGAGGTGCTGGGTGGAGGTGGGGGTGGAGAGAGTAGAGAGTTGAAGGCAGAGAAGAGTCGGCGAGGATTGGAGGAGAGGGCCTTGATGAGGGTCAAGAAGTAGGCCTGTTTGGCAGCATGGAGGGAGGAGGTGTAGGTGCGGAAGGCAGATTTGTAGCGGGTGAAGGCTTGTTTGGATTTGGTTTTGCGCCATAGTCGCTCCAGGGCACGACTTTGTCGTTTGAGGGTTTTGGTGTGATCAGTCTGCCAGGGCTGGAGCGGTCGGGGTCTGATGTTGCGTGTGGTTAAAGGCGCTAGTGAGTCAAGGGCTGTTGAGAGCGCGTTGTTGTAGGCGGTCAAAGCCAAGTCGGGGCAGGACAGGGGGAGGATGCGGTCGTGGAGTTGATCAGCTGCAGAGTGGAGGGAGGCAGGATTAAGGTTGCGGAGGTTACGGCTGGTAGTAGTGTGACATTTGGAGGGGTAGGCGTTGGAGGACGAGGAGATAGAGAAGGTTATCAGGTTGTGGTCAGAGAGAGGGAAGGGGGTGTTAGTGAGGTTGTGGGGAGCGCATCGGTTGGAGAAGACAAGATCAAGGATATTTCCGTCGGAGTGGGTGGTGGATTGTATGCACTGTGCAAGTGCAAAGGAGGAGGTTAGGTGGAGGAGACGGGCTGTGTCCGGGTTGTCGAGGTTGACAGGGATGTTGAAATCCCCAAGAATTATGGTGGGTAGCTCAGAGGAGAGGAAGAAGGGTAGCCAGGAGGAGAAGTCATCTAGGAAGCGGGGTATGGATCCAGGAGGCCGGTATATCACAGCAATCTTCAGGGGGGTTGGGGAGAATAGTCGGAGGCAGTGGGCCTCGAAGGAGGAGAAGGATAGGGAGGGGGGGGGGGTTTGGAGGACTCGGAAGGTGCTCTGCGGTGACAGGAGCAGACCAACCCCACCACCTTTACGACCGTTAGGCCTGGGTGAGTGGGTCCAGGTGAGACCTCCGTAGGAGAGTGCAGCAGGGGAGGTAGAATCAGTGGGCTGGATCCAGGTTTCCGTAATCGCTAAGAGGTTGAGGGAGCGGGAAACAAAGAGGTCGTGGATGGCGGTAAGCTTGTTGCACACCGAACGGGCGTTCAGGAGTGCACATGAAAACGGGGGGGAGATTTTAGGGAGCAGGGGGACAGATACTAAGTTGCGGGGGTTGCAGTAGGACGTGGAGGTGGGAGGGTGTTGAGCGGGTGAGGGAGGTGGAGGGCCAGGATTCGGGGAGATGTCCCCCGCGGCTAGGAGGAGGAGAAGGGTGAGAAAGGTGGCATGGGAGCAGGATGTGCAGGAGCGTGAGAAACTCCTAGTGGAGGTGTTGGGGTCAGTGGGAGAGAGGAGTAATAGGAGGAGGTGGTGGGTGCCATAGAGGGGTGAGGGAAGCAGTGAGGACACGATATACAAATGTTTGGGAGGGGCAGAGGGATATAGTGAATGGATTTTGGGAACGGAGGAGAGGAAAATGAGAAGGAGGAGTGGAAGAGACATTTTGGGGAGGTGAAGAGAGCAGTAGTAGGGAGATGATAGCAGTGAGGGGGAGATGTACAGGTTGTGGGGTGGAGCAGAGGGGTAGGGAAATGAGATTTGGGAACAGAGGGTAGTAATATGATGAGAAGAGGGGTGTATTATATAAAGGTACACAGAGTGGGTCTCAGGCATGTAAGAGGTTTCCCAGGGTGTTGCTTGCAGTCTTCCAGCGTGCAGGAGAGCTTCTTGCTGTTGTTGTGTCTTCCTGCTGCTTGAGTTCTCCTGCTTTAGTTCAACTGCTGCGTTTAACTGCTTCTTCTATGCACTCGTTCGAAGCCGCACTCAAATTATTATTATTATCAATACTACTACTAATAATAATGATTCTTTTTCAAGTGATATATTTTAGGAGCGGGTCATTCTGAATAATAGTAACAATACATAAAAATAATTGCAATGCTACTGCTAATAATAATGATTATTCCAGTAATATATTTTAGGAGCTGGCCATTCTGTGTCATCTACGAAAGTAAACAATATTAATAATAATACTTCTTGTTACTTATGATATTAATGTACTGATAATTGTATTATTATTAATATCATGTTGGGCTGTAGATGGTTTAGAAGGATCAGCTCCCAAAATATCTTCCTGTAATAATAATATTAATAATGGAGTAAAGTCAGATGATACAGAAAGGCTCCTCCCCGCACATCACACAAGACATCTTTCTGTTTGCCAGTTTGCCCTTCTCCAAGATGGCCGGTGTTCTGCTTCCTGTCTTAGCAGCAGAGTTAACGCGGCCGCAGAAATCTCGCACATGCGCAGTAGACAGCGGAGGTTGCAAATATTATTGGGGACCTCCGGGGGGCGGGATCCGTGCGGTGACGTCACCTTGTAGAAGGAATGCAGAGAGAAGGAGGAGAGTGTGGTCGGTGGGATCAGGTAGAGGGGTGCAGTATGGCGGTACAGGGGGGATAGAGGGATTGTGACTCAGGGAAGGCTGTCTGGGGACTTTTGCATTCTTAAAGGGACAGTCCACCTTGTGTGACAATGGAGTAACTGAATGTAATCAGCAATGTGCCTTCCTTCTATGTGTGTGTGTTGGAGGCTGCAGAGCAGGGGTGTCCAAACGATGGCCCTCCAGCTATAGAAGTACTACAAGTCCCATCATGCTTCTGCCTCTGGGAGTCTTGCTTGTGGTTGTCAGTCTTGCAGTGCCTCATGGGACTTGTAGTTTCTCACACCTGGAGGCCTCTGTGATCAGTGTATAGGGTGGGGGGTGCAGTGTCCTGGCTCCTGCAGACTCCCCATTACGGAGACCCCCCCATTACGCCATGGGACCATGCCCCTCCTTCACCGGACTCCATTGTGATCTGCATACTTCTCCACTGCGGGGGCAGATGACACTTGTAGTCCTTCCATTCCAGGGGCGGACTGACAACTCGTGGGGCCCCCGGGCAATAGGGGATCATGGGGCCCCTGTGTCCTTGCCCAAACTCAAAAAAGCCTATGAAAAAGGTACCAGGGGCATCTCATGGGGCCCCCTACTGAGTTTCCAAATGGTCAGTCCGCCCCTGTTCCATTCACAGCTGCACCAATCCCGGCTGCTGCAGAGAGTGCGCCCCCTCCCCCCACGACGCATGACGACCAAGCTGTCAAAGACCGTGACTACAGAACGGTAACTGGCGGGAGCGGCTTCCAATCATGTGGTCGCATGATCGACAATTTCCCCCCTACCCCCTTCCCGTGGGGTTGAGGACTGTTTCATAGGGTTCATGTGACACCCTAAATATAGACGTCACATGGAACCTGCTCCGAATACTGACCTAAGGCTAGGATCACCTCCACCACGCGTGTGCACAGGACGACTTTTATTGCGCAGTTTGAGTTTTCCATGCACTTTTTTTTGTGTGTTTTTAATGCGTTTTGCGTTTCAATTTGTGTTGCCCAATGGCAAGCTACGTGTTGATGTTGCTAGGAGGAGCTGCCTGTCGCATGCGGCAAAAAACGCACAAAGAGAGCATGTACAGGCATTTTTGATGCGATCACATGATCTATGGAGCCAAAAAACGCACCGTGCTGTGTTCAACCCCTCCACGGTGATGGCACACAAATACGCGGCTGTGCAAAACTAGGCTTTTTTCCGTGGGGTTGCATATTTGCGTACCTGCCCTTGTGCTGGGAGCGTGCCGCACGACGTGCTCCCAACACAAAGATCGCGGTGTCACTTAGTGCATCGGGTCTTGTTCTAATGATCGGGACCTGGGACTCCTGATTCCGGGTTGCATGATCGCTGTGATAGCCTCTGATTGGCTATCACAGTGATCAGTCACTGTACAGCTCGGCCCCCTTGTTTTTTTTCCTATGAATGGAGGAGAGAGATACATTGTATCATTATATACATCCTATTATACATTGTATCATTATATACATTCCATTATACATTGTATCATTTTATACATCCTTTTATACATTGTATCATTATATACATTGTATCATTATATACATCCTATTATACATTGTATCAATATATACATTCCATTATACATTGTATCATTATATACATTCCATTATACATTGTATCATTATATACATTCCATTATACATTGTATCATTATATACACATTCCATTATTCATTGTATCATTATATACATTCCATTATACATTGTATCATTATATACACATTCCATTATACATTGTATCATTATATATATATATATATTCCATTATACATTGTATCATTATATACATTCCATTATACATTGTATCGTTATATACACATTCTATTATACATTGTATCGTTATATACATTGTATTATACATTGTACCATTATATACACTACATTGTACCATTATATACACATTAAATTATACGTTGTATCATTATATACATCCTATTATACATTGCATCATTATATACATTCCATTATACATTGTATCGTTATATGCATTCCATTATACATTGTATTGTTAAAGTTGCAAGAAAAAGTATGTGAACCCCTTGGGATTACGTGGAGTTTTGCATGAATTGGGCATAAAATGTGCTCTGAACGTCATCTAAGTCACAACAATAGAAGAACACAGTCTGCTGAACATAATACTACACAAACATTAGATGTTGCCATGGTTTAATTGCACATAACATGTAAACATTCACAGTGCAGGGAGGAAAAAGTATGTGAAGCCCTAGCTTAATGACTTCTCCCAGAGCTAATTGGAGCCAGGAGTGAGCCTACCTTGACTCCAATCAGTGTGATGATATTGGATGTGTTGCTGACAGCTGTCCTGCCCTTAAAAAACACACACCTGTTTTGGGTTTATTGGTTTCAAGAAGCACTGTCTGATGTGAACCATGCCTCGCAGAAAAGAGCTTTCAGAAGACCTAAGATCAAGAATTGTTGACTTGCATGAAGCTGGAAAGGGTTACAAAAGTATCTCCAAAAGCCTTGATGTTCATGTGTCCACGGTAAGACAGACTGTCTACAAATGGAGAAAGTTTAGCACTGTTGCTACTCTCCCTAGGCGTGGTCGTCCTGTAAAAATGACTGCAAGAGCGCAGAATGCTGCATGAATTCGACCCATGTATGGCCTGCATAACTCCTGGCATAGAGGGGGAAAAAAATGTTTGTTACAAAAAATATAAATAAGTGTTTGGGTCAAGGTCAGGATCAAAGGTCAGGATTTTTTTTTTCTTTAAATGTGTGTTGGTGTCAGTGTGTTTTTAGGTAAAAAAAAAAAGAGCACTATTGTTTCTGGGCTGTACTCCGGGTACAAACAACAAATAACACACATATATGGTATCGCTGCAATCGTCAAGTGCTGGAGAATTTATTTTGTGTTGTTCTTTGGTGGTAGGTTATGGTAGTAACAAGAAACACACAGCTAAATCTCAAAAAATTATTTTTTTTTTACTATTTCAATCGGGTTGAGGTCAGGACTCTGGGCCACTCCAGAAGGCCTATTCTGTGCTGTTGCAGCCATTGTTTTGTTGAATTACTTGTATGCTTTGGGTCATTGTCCTGTTGCATCACCCATCCTCTGCGGAGCTTCAGTTGGTGGACAGATGGTCGTACGTTTTCCTGCAAAATGTCTTGATAAACTCTGGAATTCATTTTCCCATCAATGACAACAATCCGTCCAGGCCCTGAGGCAGCAAAGCAGCCCCAAATCATGATGCTCCCTCCGCCATGTTTTACAGTGGGGATGAGGTTTTGATGTTGGTGTGCTGTGCCTTTTTTTCCTCTACACATAGTATTGTGTGTTCTTCCCAAACAACTCAATCTTGGTTTCATCTGTCCACAGTATATTTTGCCAGTAGTGCTGTGGAACCTGTACCAGGCAGGTACTAGACAGTCTGTCTTACCGTGGACACATGAACATCAAGGCTTTTGGAGATACTTTTGTAACCCTTTCCAGCTTCATGCAAGTCAACAATTCTTGATCGTAGGTCTTCTGAGAGCTCTTTTCTGCGAGGCATGGTTCACATCAGACAGTGCTTCTTGAAACCAGTAAACTCAAAACAGGTGTGTGTTTTTTTAAGGGCAGGACAGCTGTCAGCAACACATCCAATATCATCACACTGATTGGAGTCAAGGTTGGTTCACTCCTGGCTCCAATTAGCTCTGCTAGAAGTCATTAAGCTAGGGCCTCACATACTTTTTCCTCCCTGCACTGTGAATGTTTACATGTTATGTGCAATTAAACCATGGCAACATCTGTTTGTGTAGTATTATGTTCAGCAAACTGTTCTTCTATTGTTGTGACTTAGATGACGTTCAGAGCACATTTTATGCCTAATTCATGCAAAACTCCTCGTAATCCCAAGGGGTTCACATACTTTTTCTTGCAACTTTACATTATTATTATTATACAGTATTTTATAGCACCTAAGGGTGTGCTCAGCGCTGTATCCCATAGTTTTGTGAACTCTATAACTTTCCTACACACTGAATAATAAACACTGATTTGGATTATTTTCACCAAAGAAATGTAGTAAAATACACTTTCGCCTAAATTTAAGAAGAATAATTATTTGCAAAATTTTATAACAGAAACAAAGAAAAATGCATCTTTTTTTCAAACTTTTTTGGTTTATTTAGCAAAAAAATAAAAACCCCAGTGGTGATTAAATACCACCAAAATGAAGCTCTATTTGTGTGAAAAAAATTCTAAAAATTAAATTTTGGTACAGTGTTGCAATTGTCATTCAAAGTGTGACAGCAGTGAAAGATGAAAATTGTCCCGGGCAGGAAGGGGATGAAAGTGACCGTGATTGAAGCGGTTAAAGTTCCAACTCCGTGCAAAAAAAAATATGTTTTCCCATGCAGTGTCGCTGTACCTGCACTGCAAGGGTTAATTGCTAATTTTTGTTTATGGGAGAGGAGATATACTTACCTGATCCTCCAATTCTCCGAGCACAAGACTGGTCCCTGCGGCTCCTGCACCCCCACGATCCAGCAGTTTTGAGCAGTGGACTGTTCCTGATGTCATCAAGCCCATAGACCTGCTCTGGATGTGAGGACACCAGGAACCATCCACAGCTGGATGGTGGGGGTGTGCTGTTTTCCGGAGGATTGGGTGAGTATATTATAAGGCTTTCTTGTTGCTGCTGGACAAAAAAGCAGTTAACCCTTGCAGTGCAATCATAGCCTGGAGTTGGACTTTAAATTTCACTGGAAAAAGCAATGCCATTTTAAGAGAAGAGCAATAAACTTAAGTTCTAATTACTGACTCATTCTTCTATGTGTGTGCAGCCATCATGGTCTATCGTACCCCATGGCAGATGGGAAACCGAGCCTCAATTTTTAAAAGTATGATCTGCCGGCTTCTTCCTTCTTTTAAGCCAGCCCACCAATGATCTGTTGACATCTCATCTGATCTTGCATGTGCACCATGGAGCAGTTTGTGATTGTTCATTAATAAACTGCTCCACACCTCACACTGGGCATGCGATAGTCCACGCTCCATTTCTGCACATGCACCACATGGCTGGGAAGTGATGGGCTTTTAATGAAAAAGCTTCACAGCCTGTACTGCACATGCGTGGAAGCAGATCATTGACTTGCACATGTGCAATACGAACGGTGGAGCAGTTTATTACTGAACAGTCACAGGCCACGCCATGGCATCTACAGCGCGTGCACGGGATCTCCTTGGAAGGCCCTGGTGATCTGACTTTTCCAGAAGTCACCTGTGCGACTTGGGCTATGTCACCAGTGCCCTGGGAAACCAGGAAATTAGAAGATAAATTAATGTTAAAATCTAACGTGTTTCTGGATCAGCATGCACTGGAAAATTTTAGGTTGGGAGGGGTGGGATGAAGGTCCACTTTTAAGCACAGTAGAGTAACCATCTTTGCTTGTGACAATTGATTATACATCCCTGTTACAGGATCATCCTTATGTTTCTTGATTGGGTGAACTGGTTCCATAGCTCCACCATAACTTGTCACTGCGTATATAGTTGGCATTGAATGTTTCCACCTTCATGTTTTTTCTTGTAGATGGAACTTTAACCAATAACACGTTGGAGATCTTCCACAATCCTGTCAAAAAGATGGAGGATAAAAGTGACAATGACAGCAGTTACCGTGAAGATGGCCTTCGTAATAAGCGGAGTGTGAGGAAAAGGCGGTCTGCTGGGAGGGCATCTTACATGTTTGCATCTGTTGGAAGAAGAACCACCTTCCATGCCTCCATTGCTTCACCCGGTGACCAGACACAAACCTCAATTTCTAACTCTTGTGTGGAGGAAAATTTAGGTGGCCACTATGGAATTTTGGACAAACAAGAAAACATTAAGGTGAAAGAAGAAGTGTTCTCTGGAGAAGAACAAGTGTCCTCAAGAGAAGAAGACACATATGGGAAAGAAGAAGAACATGTGTCCTCCAGGGAAGAAGACACAACTTCTGGGGGAAAAGACCCAGGGAACACTGAAACTGTTCTCGTTCAAGACTCTCCTGTTACTCGGCATAAACGGACACGTCACACGACGAAGGTCAGCATAGTCCGATCCAAAGAGATCTCAGAGGACCTCAGGAAACAAGTTGTTGATGCTCATAAGAGTGGAAAAGGTTACAAAAGGATTGCCAAAGACTTGGGTCTGCATCTGTCCACAGTCAAAAGGATAATTTACAAATGGAAAAAATTCAGCACGGTTGCCACTCTCCCCAGGAGCGGGCGTCCTACAAAGATCAGTGCAAAGGCACGCCACACAATCCTCAAACATATGAGAGACAACACTAGGGTGACGGCAAAGGACCTGAAGGCATCTCTGGCACTTGATAATATCAACGTTCATGAGTCTACTATACGGAAAACACTGAGCAAGTGGTGTTCATGGGACTTTACCATGGAGGAGGACACTGCTCTCCAACAAGAATAATTGGGGTCTGCCTCAAATTTTGTGAAGACCACCTGGGTCTTTCACAGCCCTAGTAAAACAAGTATCTGTATACAGACGGGACAAACATTAAGCTCTTCTGGTATATGTACTTGGCATTATGCCTAAAGTGAACGCCTATTATTCATCCAAACTGTAACGCATGGTGGAAGAAGCCTTATAGATTTGCTGCTTCACAGCACTGAGGGATTGCAATTGGGACCAGTAAAAATGTATGGTATCATGTTCCTCTGAAGAATGTCTGGGTACCTGCAGAGGATCTAAAATAACTTGGGTCGGCCTCAAGTTTTCTGAAGGCCAGCTGGGTCTTTCACAGTCCTAATGGAACAATTTTTTTTACAATAAGCTGTTTCAACATATGTATATAGCATTATGTTTAACCACTTCCCATCCGGTACGTAAATGACCAGATGGGAGCAGTGCAGGTGGCCATTTAAAAACGACCCCCGCATTTGTGCGTGCTCCCTGGGAGTGCGCGGGCGATGTGATTTGGTGCTCGCTGTGTAAGCACCGATCGCTGTACGGGACCTCTGTGTGAGGTCCCGATTCATGTGATCACTGATTGGCCAATCAGTGATCACATGAACAGTGGTAAACAAGATGTCACTTCTTGACATCATTGCTTACTACTTGTGAAATCTGTGAATGATCACAGAGGTCACATGGTACAGGGCTATTCACAACAGCCTTGTACCATGTGACAAGCTGTGACCAATCACAGCTCTCACAGTATATCTCAATCACTGCAGGAATGCAGCCAGAGAGAAGGAGAAATGATTGCTTTTATGGGTTTAAAAGCAATCAGTGTAAAAAAAGAAAAAAACATTTTTCATCACCCCCCACAAGTAGTACAGTGTCACTATGGTGACACTGTACTGCTAGGGTGACGGTATGTTAAAAAAAAAAAAACAAATAATATAAAAGAAATGAAAATGTAAAAAAAAAACATTTTTCAAAAATTATAATTTTTGGTTCTAAACTAATTTTGGGTATTTTTTTTGTTTACTAAATAGATAGCTGAATACATTTTGGCCAAGATTTATGAAGAAAGATTGTTTATTTGCTAAATTTTATAAGAAAACCACTTTTTTTTTTCAAAATGTTTGGACTTTTTCATTTATATAGCAAAAATATAAAAATCCAAGTGGTAAATAAATATCCCCAATATAAAGTTTTATCTGTCTCAAAAAAATGCTAAAAAATTCATAAGGGTACAATGTTGCATGACCGTGCAATTGTCATTCAACGTGTGATAGCGCTGAAAATTGGCCTGGACAGGAAGGGTGTGAAAGTGCCCGGACTTGAAGTGGTTAAGGTGAAGTAAAAAAAAGAGGTGAAAAAATGCAAGAGAACACATCAAAAACGTGCATGCAGAAATACAGGGCTGCGTTACTATGATGTGAAGCGGCCCACTGGATCAGCATGATAGCCAGGTAACAGGTATTTCCAGATGGAGAGGTCAGCGATTAGCATCCTCCATACTTTATTGTTACATGTCCTTCAATATATGTAGAGCAATGTATTGATCTGCTTCTAGTTTCACTACATTTTCACCCAAACCGTGAAGCATGGTGGAGGAAGCTTCATAGTGTTGCTGCCCCCACAACATTGAATTGTTGAGGGACCAATGAAAGTTGTATCATATCATGTTTTTCTGTAGAATGTCTGGCTATCTGCAGAGGATCTAAAACTCAGAATACGGCTAGCTATGCAGTGACCACGATTAAAAACCTAAAAGCACCTTGTTTCATAGACAATTGGCGTAGATTTTTTTCCCGTAATGTACAGTTTTTAACTGTTTTTGCATCTTCGTACTGTTAATCCCAGTCAGTCTTTTTTAGCCACTTCCGGTCTACATGAACTGGATTCGGTGTCAGCTACCCATCACTGCTCAGAACCAGTTCACTGACCGTGATAATGGCGGACCGCGCCTGTGCAATGTGGCCTCTTGTAGTCTACATCAGGGGGCACATGTGACGGGATAACAGACCACACCCCATAACAGGAAGTGCCTGAACATGGACCTTCATGGCAGAGTCACCAGTTATTATTATAATAAGAGCTGCAAACCTAAAAAGATTTAAAACAATTTTTTTTTAATTTAACATGTTAAAGATGAACTCCAACCTTCCATTTAGTCTTGTCCAGTTGTACCGGATTCTCTCCTGGACTGAAATTCCTTACTCTGTGTAACGGAACCGGACCCCGACTGCACTTGGGTATTTCCATTAGACTCCCGCTTCCCTGTCCGAACACAGATCCACGGACACCACCGCTGGCCAAACAAGACGAGACAGCACCAGACTCATCTTAAAAACAGGAAATGGCTGCTTTTTTTTTAACAGAGATACAAGATATATACACAGGGCGGGGAAATACACCCAGGAACAGGAAACACAGCAGGCTGTCTCATCAGGGAGAAGGGCTGCCGGAAACACCCCTCCCCACCAAGGCAGTACAAACACATACATCCCATAATAGTTTGCTCCCAAACAAGACACATAATAGAACAATGGGATGCAACCGCATGGCAGTGAACAATGAACACCCCCCCCACCCCAATATTAGAACATTCCACCCTGTACCCCTAACAGGCACAGGGTGACTTACACATAATAGGGATATGGGGAGCTGAGAAAGGGGTCTCCCCACATCTCCAAAGTGGGCTGTGTTCCATGGGCCCCACCACACAAAGTCACTCCTGTCACACTGTGATTTCACCGCACACTGTGAGCGTCTCAAGTCGGCACCAGCCTTATTTCCTGCTGTGCTGCAGTGCAAGAGGCATGCTGCTAAGAAGAGAGAGAAGGGAGATGAGCCTGTCAGTGTGCTGCTTCTTTTTTCACTGTCCAGTCACAGGCTGAAGAAGGGACAAGACCTGTGTTACTAGAAGGGGAAGTCTTCTCGCCTGCTAGACAGGGCTGTGCTACGTATGAGAGCTGTGTAAATCTCAAGTCTGGATGGACAGAAAAACAAATTATTTGGCAGGTAAACCAGCAACCCTATATTTTATTTTTATTCATTTCAGGTACTTATATAGCGCCGTCAATTTACGCAGCGCTTTACATATATATTGTACAGTCACATCAGTCCCTAACCCTCAAGGGGTGTACAATCTAAGGTATCTATTGTGTATTTAGCTGTTTGCCAAGGGACCAGCTGTATGTTGGAGAGATGCTGTCCCCAGATCATTCATTTCAAGCACAATTTTTGTCATAAGAATATATGTGCGTTTAACGTGCTTTTGTAAATGTCACAGCACTTTACTTTTCCTTCAAAAGCATTAAAGAACACATCCCGGGATCCCTTTAGACAAGCATGCTCCTCCCTGCTGGCCACTGGGCGGCGCAGATTTTAGCTACTCTTTCTGCCGATTGGTTCCTTGAGCATGCACGATTAAAGGGAGTCAGGGATGTGTTTTCATATGCAGCTTCAAAGGGTTATATTATGGAGATGCGAGTTTGCAGGGAAGTGAATGGTTTCAACACAGGCGAGGACTTGCTATTAAGTTTGGGAGGAAAAAAATAAGGCTGGAGTTCAGCTTTAAATAAATATGCGACTTCTTTATACCTTGATGTCTCCATACGCCAAGAGGCTCGGTATGCTTTGCTTCATTGTCCCATACTGGGCCTGTTAGCTCATCCGCAGAAGTTGGCTTCCTATCTGTTTCTGTCGGCCACGAGAACAATTGCTCAGGCCTGGAAGAGCCCGTTTGTCCCTCTTCAGGGGGTGCGGGGGACCGTATGACCACTTTAATGCTCAATGAACAGATGTCAAGTATCCGTAACGGCTCCCAACGAAAATTTTTAAGAATATGGGAGCCGTGGTTGACATATGCTTGTCCCACGCTTCCCCCCGGGGTTAATGACGCTCTATGGTAAATGCGTTCCCGGATCCCTGATTCTGGTCTTGTTTTCTTCTTCCTCCTTTACTCTTTTTTTTTCCTCTTTCTTTTTTTGTTTGATTACATGAGGCGATCGATATTTGCCTTTGGCTGGAAATTTTTGTTGGTGTTATATCACTGTTTTTGTATTTTATGTGCATTGATAGCCCCTACGTGGGCGCGCCTCTTGCATTGTTGGAGTTACAATACTGATCTATTTTCTATTTTCGCGTCTTTTGCTCTAATCCATCTTGTTAAATTGTTTACAAAAGTTAATAAAAACCATTGAAATACAAATGCCATTTTACCTTTGTACAAAGATACTTATCTGCATAGAGGGTGCCCTAAAAAGTATGACAGAGACTGGGCAAAATGGTTAGCAGAACCCTCAACAGCCACTGACACCTGTCCTCTGAAATATTTGTGCCCCTCCTGGATCCTCATTTATGCAAGTTTTTGGGGGGCATTAGGTACTGGGGATATGTCTATTTGCCCTAAATTGTTGGTCACGAACAGCAGCTATTGTTTTATGTTCCTTTTTTTGTTTTATTGTATGTTGTTATGTTTGTAGGCCGAACCCCTGACTGTAAACTTGCTATGTTTTCACTAAGATACCCCTGTGTGGGTTAGTGCCCGAGGATGTACAGTTGTGTTCAAAATAATACCAGTGTGTTGAAAAAAGTGAATAAAGCTCAAAATCCTTCTAATAGCTTTTATTTCCATACACACAAATGCATTGGGAACACTACACATTCTATTCCAAATCAAAACATGAAGAAAAATAGATCAAATTTGTGTTGTTCCTCTAAAAAAAATTGAAGAAAAGTGAATATTAGACTGTTCAAAAAAATTGCAGTGTTTGTATTCTTTTTACAAACTCAAACATTCACTATATAAACTGAAAAATGTTTGAAGATTTTGCTTTCCTTTGAATCACTTAATGAATATTTAGTTGTATAAGCACTGTTTCTGAGAACTGCTGTACATCTGTGTTGCATGGAGTCAACCAACTTCTGGCACCTGTGAACAGGTATTCCAGCCCAGGATGATTGGACTACATTCCACAGTTCTCTATTTCTTGGTTTTGCCTCAGAAACTGCATTTTGATGTCACCCCACAAGTTTTCTATTGGATTAAGATCTGGGGATTGGGCTGGCCACTCCATAACATCAATCTTGTTGGTCTGGAACCAAGATGTTGCACGTTTACTGGTGTGTTTGGGGTCGTTGTCTTGTTGGAACACCCATTTCAAGGGCATTTCCTCTTCAGCATAAGGCAGCATGACCTCTTCAAGTATTCTGATGTATTCAAACTGATCCATGATCCCTGGTATGCGATAAATAGGCCCAACACTGTAGTATGAGAAACATCCCCATATCATGATGCTTGCACAACCATGCTTCACTGTCTTCACAGTGTACTGTGGCTTGAATTCAGTGTTTGGGGGTCGTCTGACAAACTGTCTCCGGCCACTAGACCCAAAAAGAACAATCTTACTTTCATCAGTCCACAAAATGTTGCGCCATTTCTCTTTAGGCCAGTCAATGTGCTCTTTGGCAAATCGTAACCTCTTCAGAACGTCTTTCTTTCAACAGTGGGACTTTGCGGGGGCTTCTTGCAGATAGCTTGGCTTCACATAGGCGTCTTCTAATTGTAACTACTCACAGGTACCTTTTTAGACCTTCTTTGATCTTCCTG